CTCCCTCTGACCCTCCTCCCTCTCATGCTCTCTGTCTCTCATTCTCTCTCTCGCAAATAAATAAAAAAAATCTTAAAAAAAAATTAAAATCATTGCTGTCATGAAGAGCTTCAGGGAGCTTGGGTAATATTCTTAACTTCTGTGAGCACCTCCTTTTTTTTCATCTTTATGGGTAACAGTGTCCTCCCCGCCCTGAATTGTAAGAATTAAATGTGAACTAGCATGTGAAAAGACCTTGTGTGGTACTTCTGTTTTTTAGTCTATACGACTTATGTCAGCAGGAAACACTTTCTCAATCTAGTAAACTTTAACTCCTTCTGGAAAGGTCTTGAGTGTTTTTACTAGTGTTAGTTGATCCTAGTAAGTTATTGTCTAGATATCCTAAATTGTTTTGTCTTTCATTTCTGTAAACAAGTTATAAAGTTTATAGTGATTGATCCTAGTAGTTTCTGGAAACATATTTGTAATGTATCTATTGAGCCAGCCTGTATCTGAGCTATATTCCAAAGCATGATTTTGTCTGTGTGAGAGTCTCTTTGGTTGTGGTCCCTTGTAATAAAGAGCTCTTTTTAAATTCTACCACATCCATACCCATGCTTTGATTTAGAGTTGATTTGACCCGTATATTTAATTGCTGAATAGTTGAACATTCTCTAGTATATATATAGACAATGCTGAATTCATAGAGCATTAAAGCTATTTAAGATAATCTATGTTAAGACAATCTATATAAATAGCTTATGGTCTATTAAGAAAGCTATATAAAGCAAAATTATTCATAATAACCTTTCTATGGAACATGCATTTTTTTTTCCAGAATAATTTAGAAGAGGATGAAGATGTGGAAATGAAAAATAGTATAACCCAGGGAGACAAACTACGTGCCTTAAAAAGTCAGAGACAGCCACGCTCCTCACCATCCTGTGCATTTAGGTAGATCCATTTTAAACTTCTGAATTTATATTTTGCCTCCATTTGTGGATAGAATATTTAATCTTCTCTTTTGTGTATCATTCTACAAGTGCCATGTTTACCTCTTGTTTTTTGGTTTATTACTATTTTGTGTTGTTTATTATTTTGTCACTATAGAGAGCAGCTAAGTTTTAGAAGCTTACAGAAAGCAGCTCCTGCAATCTCAGTCTCTGGAAATCCCACCTTAAACTGCTATACCATTGGGTGTCTCTGGGACTGTGTTCAAAATTCCTTTTGGAATTCTACTCTTCCCCCATGAGTGGATGTCCTATCTTGTGGCAAATCCTCACAGGTGTACTGAGGCTTTTGTTTTGAATCTAGAGTGTGTAGAAAAGTATTGAATGCCAAGCTTTGGTATATCCTAACTCCTTAGTTTTATGTTCTATATTTGAGAATTGAATAAATAATTCTTAACCTGTGTCTGTAAAGTTTGGAGTCTAAAATTACTAATCAGAATCAATTGATGGAACCTGACTTGTGATCATAACATTTAAAACCTGCTAATGGTTCAGATTAGTTAAAAAAGAAAGTCTTTAGGATCAATGTAGGTACAAAAATCTGTGAATATCTTCCAGATTCTTTACTGTAATATATGGGGTGGTGACAAGTTCATAAATGATTATAATAGGAAATGGCTGCTTTTCTTTGCCTTTTAAGTGAGAGACATGCACAGCAAGAGGGGTGTTTTGCCAGCATGACACATGTCAAACAGCCTCACAGAGAGTTTAATTTTCATGTGTTATCTGGGAGGATTATAACACAAGTCAGATTAAGTCTGAACACATCATTACCTATGCTTTGAGTACTGGTTCCTTGACCTGGGGGATGAAGGTTTATGTGGCTCAAATTCAAGCTGATCGTTTTCCACAGTAATGTGAGAAGATGGGATAGCAAGCCTCGTGCTTAGTAGTAACCGCCAGCTACCACTAGAAAATTGAAGAGACGTATCATTCACTGAGCAGCATGTTAGGTGTTTAGTTTGGTTATGAAGATTAACTGAATTAACACAAAAGGTATGCATCATTTCCCACATTTGGGTTGGTTGCTTGAGGTTAGGGAGGTTAAATCCCTCCCCAGTGGGATGGAGTTGGAATAGAGCTGATATTCACACCCAGTACTGTTCAATCTGTGCTCTGCCTGCTATGGATATCATCTAAGTCAATGGAAGGTTCTTCAAGATTACTAATCTCTTTATTCGCCATTTTTCCCCTTGAAACTCTTAAGAAAGGCTTTATATTTCTTAAAATTAATTTCCAACAGATTTAGATTTGATTTTGAAGAAATCATAAGGGGGAGGGAGGGATAAATTGGCATATAGCTTGGCACATAAGTAGGCAAAAGAAGTGAGAGAACCTCCACGACACAAATTTTAGAAGGCTATTCCAATATGATTTTTCTATTTTTTTTTTAATTCTTAGAAATTTTCTCATTTTTTAGAATTCAATTTTCCTCGGAAATTTTCTCATTTTTTAGAATTCAATTTTCCTAACGGCATCATGGTATCATCATTGAACGTTTTTTTTACCCTGAGTGGCTGCAACACCACCTTCTGATTTAAAGAAATTTGCTGTAAATTAAATTTAAGATGAAACAAAATGACTAAAATGGGTTTCCTGCTGGTTCTAGGATTTATTTTAGAAACGGAATGAGTACTAATATCCATTTGGGAGCTTTCTCCCTTTTGCCAATTTAATATTTTTACTGGTCTGACTCCATATGCTCTGCCTTTTGGTTTTTGCTTAAATGTATGAACCGGTGATGCGTGAGCTTTTGTCTTTGATTTCCACAGGTTGGATGATATGAAAGGGCACCCAAGAGCAGTATCCCAGCCTTTCAGGTACTGTTACTGAGGTGAATTTCTAGTAGCTTGTAAATAAATGCTCCCCTTTAGATACATTTCCCAACCCTGAAACTGGTGGAAACAAATTGTACACAGCTTTTCACTTTTTAAGCCCCTTCCTTTCTGTTCCAGATTGTTACACTACACCTTATTTTTAATGCTCACCATGAAGGGGATTTTGGTTTTCCTGAGGTGCCCGCAGATGTGGCTCTGGTAGGGACATCAGTGTAGTCTGTGCTTCCAGCACGTTCTGGGGTCTCTAAGAAACTATGCTTGCTCAGCAATGTGCCTTTCAATCCAGTGACCGATTTTGCCTCGAGGTTTTAACATTTCTGTTTGTCCTTTTCGCCCCTAGTTTTACATATGTTCTTTATTTTCTAGTTTTATTTCCTTCCCCATCCTCCATCTGAAGAGGAAACATTAGTGTTTCTCTCTGGAAAAACGTCCTCCAAACAGTCCCGGGGTGGTTTCAAGATACTAGTGGTACCAGGGTGTAGTGTAGGGCTTGGTGAGGGCCGTGGACATGTTTGCCAAGACCGTTGATGAGATAGGGGTAGAAAGCTGATTCACCCCTCACCTCTGGTTCTTATTCAGCCCGAGGTTTTAGGGTTGTTTCGTGTGGGCATTTCGAAGAGGGCTCAGACTTCTCCAGAAACTTGAGCTGCTTTCTGGTACCACTTTTCCCATTCGTGTTTTAGAGGCAAACCATGTACTTGAAATGTTGTTTGTGGGGAGGATGATGACGGAAAGAGTCTACAAGTAAGTAAGCTTTCTAGAGCAGATAGGAAAACAAGGTCCAGGTGCATTAAATGGTTTGTTCGAGTTAAAACAGGTTTGGTATTAAAACCATGATTCTGCCCTGGCTGTTCAGGTTTGAGTCTGTTTTCCCTCAAACATTAATGAACATCCTCTCTGAGTCTGGCACTGGACTAGCCACTGGGAATAGAAATGAGAGACAGTCCTTTGCCCTCAGTGGAGCTTATATCAAGGGAAATAGACAAATACCAGACAGTGAAGTATGGCGTAAGGGCTATGATTTACTATGAGAATATATGACGAAACAGGATGCTTACCCTGCCTGGGAATTCAGTGAAGGCTTGCTGTATAGGGTACTAGCTGATTGGACCAGCAAAGGATAAGCAATGGGAATGAGGCAGATGGAGGTGGAGGGGAGGTAAGGAGAGGAGAAGATGCTCTGGCAGGAAAAGCAGCATATGCAAGCTGGACACAGGTGTGAATGCAGTCCATTCAGGGAACTGAGAACAGTTCGTGTCACTGGAGTAGAGGTGCCTAATGGCAAAGTGTGGGTAGAAAGGACCTGCTCACAAAGGCTAGTGCCAGAGTTTGGAGGGTTTTGTAAGTACAGCCAAGGAGCTCAGGCTTCCTGGACACTGAGGAAAGATTAAATGGTTTAAACAGTGGGGTGACATAATTAAATATTTTAGATTCCACCGGAGACTATTCAGAATTTGAATTTTAAGGAGTAAGATTAAAAGAGGTTGCTAGTAGTCAAGAGGAAGGAGTAGTGATGGCCTCAGCTAGGGCAGTTGCAGAGTGGAAGGAAGAGGACAGGTTTAAAATATAAAGAAGTAGAATTAAGGACATGTGAAGAAAGAACGCTGCCATCAAAGAAGGGAAGTGACCAAGCATGGCAAGATCATGGTTAAGGACAGGACTGTGGAGCCTGGATTTGAATCCCAGCTCTGTCCCTTGCTCACTGAGTGACTTTGGATGAGGAGCTTTTCCTTTGTGGCTCCGTTTCCTCACTTGCAAAGTGGGGATTGCAATCTTAGCTGCCTCATAGGGTTGTTGTGAGGATGAGCTGACTTACCATCTATAAGGCTCTCAGAAGAGAGTCTGGCATGGAGCGAGTGCTCTGTTGGCTTTGACTGCTGCTACTGTCACTGTTGTCGTGACCTGCTGTGATCTCTTTAATGTTATTAGTTTACCATGTCTTAGTTGATTGCTGGATGTTAGGATGACACAGCTCTTGTGTGACATTTTGCCCCTTTGTTTCCACAAAGATTGACTTCGTCCCCACAAGGATCTGCAACTACTTTGAAGACCTCGAAAGTGGCTTTGTCCACTTCAGTGACGGCCAAGAGGATAAACAGGGGTTCTTTGTCCTCAGGTGCCAGTGTACGAAGGTGATTTTTCTCTACTTCTCAGATACCGGTGGGAGGTAAAGGGAGTCCGTAGCAGACAATGAGTTTGGCTGAAGTTTGTCAGAGGAGGGAACCGGGGAGAAGGGGAGAAATAGCAGAAGGCTCTGTGACCCTCCGGGGCTTCTGTTCCTGTCTCACGTGGTGGGGGACAAGGCCGTGGAGGGAGTGCCAGATGGCATCCCTTTCTACAGTGAAACTCCAGCTTGCCTAACGTAATCAGGAAATCGGAGTTCCGAGGCACATACTAATGCTATGTGGTATGGTCATTTCTCCTGCGATGGGTAGGGACGTTAGAATGAGTACGTGTAAGCTAAATCTTACACTTAAGTCTACTTTTTACTCTCCCGTCATATAGCCCTTTTCCTGTACTCTCCACCTCAGGACACATAGAGCCCCCAGATGTTCTGTCTCAACATCTCCTGTCAGCGTGGTTAAGCCAGCTTCTTGGGTCTGAATTAACTGCTTAGACAGGAAGTTAATGTGTATAACTCAAGGCTCCATATGATACTATCACCAAGAGTGATAAAGAAGCCATTCTGTCGCCATTTGCATTAATCAGAACTGTCTGCATCCCATTCCCCTCATGTCCTAATTATGTGTTTTAGAAACATGAACTCTGCGTGAGTATACATCGTTGTCTATGTCCCCCCCGCCCACAACCTGTGTTTTCCATTCAGCTTTTCCATAAACTCCCGGCTAGCCAGTTCTCTAGGCAACTTGAACGCTGCGACACAGGAGCCAGAGAACAAAAAGGCCTCCTCGTCCTCTAAGGCGGGTTTCATAGCCAGCCCGCTCACCAGCCTCTTGAACGGCAGCTCCCAGCCGCCTGCCAGAAATTACCCTGAGCTCAACAACAACCAGTACAGCCGAAGCAACAGCAGTGGTGGGAGCACCCTGCACAGCCAGCCGAGCCCCCACAGCGTCAAGACCGAGGAGCACCCCACCCTCCTCCGGCCCTCCTACACCGGCCTCTCTTCTTCCTCAGCGAGATTCCTGAGCCGTTCAATCCCCGTAAGTTCGCAGACACCACCTCTTGGTCCTCAGAACCCTGAACGCAACTTTTGTGCCTTGCCTTCCCAGCCAAGGCTGCCACCCAAGAAATTTAATAGCGCCAAGGAAGCCTTCTGAGCGATGCCTTCCCTCTGTGCTGTGGAACTGTCCATGCACGTGCATTCTGCTGGCTCCTCTCCAAGTAAATGCCAAGTTTCAACTGGGGTTTCTTCCTTCCTTCTTTTTGTCCTCCTCCTCCCACTCCTTTTCAGGTGACTTCGAAGGGAAACAGCTTTCATTCCCTTCATCATGAACACTGTTGACTCAAGTTAACTTTTCAGTTAAGTTTGCAAATCACTCTGACTATCTGGTGCCAAGCCAGGAGCTGATTCATACAGTAGACGGTATTGGCTTTGGTTGTGGTGGTTTTAGGAATCGTCGCTTTTCCACATCACATGCTAATGAATGAATTTCAGAGTATTTTTTTTTAAGATTTTTATTTATTTATTTGACAGAGAGAGACACAGTGAGAGAGGGAACACAAGCAGGGGGAGTGGGAGAGGGAGAAGCAGGCTTCCCGCAGAGCAGGGAGCCTGATGCGGGGCTCGATCCCAGGACCCTGGGACCATGACCTGAGCCGAAGGCAGACGCTTAACCGACTGAGCCACCCAGGCGCCCCCTCAGAGTATTTAAATGTGGAAGGTGCTGAATGAACAGGATCTTCTCATAACTAACCATTAGGCCCCTGAATAAGTCACCTCCTGCAGGGCACTGACCCTACAGAATTAACAACATGGCAAACGGGAGGTGTTGATAAGGAAGGCTTATAGGTCGGTATCTGGGATGTTGGGGAGGGGAAGACAGAGTATCAGGAAGATGTTTAGAATTAGCCATCACTCTTCCGGAGACAGGACGAAAGTTTGCCAAACACATTCTCCCTGTGAATTCAGTATTTAGGTTGCCAAGCTCCGCCCAACCCCAGCTTTTAATCAGAAATCCCTGTTAGGTCAAATCTGTTGGTTCACCCCCTGCTATGAATCACTTTAATCACATATTTTGATTGCCTAGAAGGGAATCGAGATCTATGGGAATGTGAGTTTTGATTTGAGAGAACAAGAACAAAATGGGAAGGAGAAATCGATCTCACAGATCAAAGAAATGTGAATCGGAGTGATTCCAGTCAGGGCACAAGCCAACTCCAGTGTCCTGGGAGGGCTGGGACCTGGGACTCCTTCATGCCTGATATTCTTCAAACATATCCTCAGCCATTGTCCAGGGAGAGGCTGATTTCTGCAGGGGAGCGGGGGGAGGGCAATGTGCCTTTTTTGGGGAACAGTAGCCCCATGGGAATAGTTAACGAGACCCACTTTCCTTAGATGATAGTTTAGGGACCATCTTTCCTAACACGAGGATGCAGTGCACGTGTGTGCATGCACATGTGTGTTGGTTGGACTTATTACCACTCTCATCCCTACCTCAGCCTCTTTTCAGAGGTTGTTTTTTTTTCTCTCTTCTATGCACACACAATCCTTCCTGGCACATACAGTTGACCCTTGAGCAACACAGGCTTGAACTGCAAGGATCCACTTATACATGGATTTCTTTCAATAAATACGGTACAGTAAATGTGTTTTCTCTTTCTTACGATTTTCCAAATAACATTTCCTTTTCTCTAGTTTATTGTAAGAATTCAGTATATAATACATAGAACATACTAATTGACTGTTGATGTTCTTGCTAAGGCTTCTGGTCAACAGTAGGCTATTAGTAGTTACGGTTTGGGGGAGTCAAAAGTTTTGGGGGAGCAGATTTTTGACTACGTGGGAGTCGGCACCCCTAACCCATGCATTGTTCACATTGTTCAAGGGTCAACTGTATAATTTTCCCCGTAAGATTTTATTCCCCGTGATGTTTTTCAACATTATTTTAGATTCCTGTATAGATTAGGGCCCCAAGCAACTGCCAGCCCACTCCACCCCTTAATTTGCCTCTGATCCCACTATATTATGCGTATAGGTGTATCAGTAAAACTTAGATCTTAGTAATTAGGGGGTTAGATGGAAAATGATAGGTATTTACCTTTTCACAACAAGGTTTACAAGTCGTGTGCTTCCCAGCAGGAGTTGAGTTGTCAGTATTTTCATCTACCGATTGTGGATCAGCCTCATTTTTAGACCAGAGCACAGACCTGTTCATTTTCGGAAAAAGTGTTACACATACAGATAATATAGATAATTATATAACTATCTCGCTGGTTTCATGGCAAAAGAGTTAGTGAAACCTACATTTGCAGCTGAATACCAGAAGCATCAGGAGCCTGACAAAGAATAGCATTTTACTTTTTCTGGATCTCAGTTTTCCTCTTGGCTAGTTGAAGTATGGGGGTGTTCTTTAGGTGATTGATCTCCCCCCCCATATTTATATAATTTAGTTTTTGGTGTCATTCCATGTTTTGTTATTTGTCTTCACCTCTCCTTCTCCTCATCCCTCTCCTGGCCTGAATAGAGTGATTTTCCAATAATTAAAGTAATAGTCTGTGTGGGCAGCTGCTGCTGTTCGCCTCTTCTGCCTCTTAAATCTGTCATCTTATTGTAAAGAGAAGCATTTAGAAATAGAATCGCCAGCATGACAACATTTTCCTCCTTCTCACCCTCCTGGGAAGTAAGAAGTAGCAGGTCTCTTAGGGCTGACTTTCACTTCTTTATCTTTGCCTAGAAAACCTCTGTGGGAGGGAAGGCTCCCAAAAAAGTCTAAATTCAGATGGAAATTCCCATGTTAATGTGGAATAAAGCAGGAGGTGGTGAGTTGTTCTCCTTTATCGGTCCGCTACACTTGCTTTTCTAATTGTGGGTTTCTTGTCTAAAGGAGGTGGTCCTTCCCTGCAGGGCTTCCTAAGCTCTGAGGCATATGGCCCCCGAAGAACAAGGAATAAATCACTCAACAGAAATGTTTCCAGATCCTTGGGTAGGAAATGAAGTCTGTACGGCAATATCCTCCCAGCACCTTTAAGAAAGACCCAGAAACTCCTAGGGGATGAGGATGACGTGTGTTTAGAGGGAGTCTAATATTTTAGAAGCTGCAATTAGCATCTCTTTTGAAAGCTGCAATTGCTCTCACTTTATGCAGCAGTTCAGCCCCCAGAAAAATGTAAAAATGATTTCCTTGTTCTGTCATTAAACGCTTTAACACAGAAAACAAGAGCAAATGTTAAGGAATTCTTCTGGTGGTGACAGAAAGCCGAGAAACCATCCGATTTTATTTTTATTTATTTGGCCTCTTCTGTGAGCCTCAAGGTTTCTACTGCCCAGGACAATGCACAAGGTTTCATTTTTATTAACCCACTTATTGTTAAAAAAAAAAAATCAGTTTTCCTTCCCTGACATTCAGAGGAGTTTTCAAATGCTTAAGAAATGAGGGACGTGTGATTATGGTGTGGGTGGGGTGGAAGTATTTTATTAAATTGAAATTACTTGAGGTATCTGTCTTGAATATTTGCTCTGTTTTATTTTTAAAATGAGACTTGCCACTGAATTGCTATTCATCTCCGCTGTCCTTACCTGACCCCTGAAGTCTGGGTTAGGTCGTGATGCCTTCCCCATAAGCTCTTCTATACCCTGCCTTGGTCTTAATCAATACTCCTCTCGCGCTGCATTTTACCCATCTGTTCACTTATCTGTATCCCCCACTAGACTGTAAGCTCTGTGAGGTCAGGGACTGTGCCTCTGTTTTCTGTGCCACAGTATGCCACAGTTGTATGCTCTGAGCATACAGTAGGCACTCGTTAAGTATTTCTTGAATGGATATATGAATGCTTGGGTGTTTAAATGAGTCATGTGTTAAGAGTTATTGCCTCCATTTTAAGGATGAAGAACTGGAGGGTTTGAGAGGTTAAATATTTTGGCCTAGACCTAGATTGTACCACAAATATGTAGCAGAGGCATAATTTGCACCTAGGTCAGTTTGACTCCAAAAAGCATATTCTTTTGATTACATTATGTCACACATATACTGTGGTAGGTGTTTAAAAGACAGGGATAGCTAAAGGAGGCTCATTTTTTCAGGAGAGGTCAAGGAAAGATGTGAAGAAGGGATACCACTTTAGTTGGGCTTTGGAGGATGAATAGGAGCCTGCTGGGAATCTAGCCATGAAAACAGGAAGAGGAGAAATGGTCATTGCAGGCAATGGGAACCATACGACCAGAAGTGCAGCCTTGTACTTAGATTCTTAGGTTCTGAAGGAAGACACGTAGACCTAGGTTCAAATTTTCTCTCTGCCATTTCCTTATGGTGAGTACTTTGGCAAGTTATTTAACCTTGCTGAGCCTCAGTAAAATGGGAATAATGGGAATGATAATAATCAAGGGCAGATCTAGGTTTTGTGCACCCTGAAGCTTATACAATTTGGTGGGACCTATGTAAGATAAAGAAGGCAAAATATGAATTTTTGTGAATTTTATACGACATAGGGCTGTGTACTTTGAAAGGAGTTTGTGTGACTATGGGGCCTTGAGGCTTATGGGGTAGTGATCATAGTGTCTTTGTAATAGGGTGGTTGTGATGATTAACTGAGGAGATAAATCATGTGAAGTAGTTTACCCTGTTGGCTTACAGATGGTGCTCAATAATTGCTAGCTATTATTGTTTTAAGAGCAGTGAGTATTCCAGTGTAGCTAAAGCCAGGGGAGGTCACCTGTAGTTGAGGCTGGAAAGTTAAGCTGAAGCCAGCGTCAGCTATCTGAATCTTGTCAGCAGACTGGCTTGATCAGATCTGATCCGATGAAGATAATTCTGGCAGTCGTGTGTAGGACAGCTCTCGGTGGAAACCCTGAAGGCAGGGAGACTGGTTTGAGTCCTATCTGCTGTCCTCTGTCCCTGCCTTAGCAGGTGTCCTTGGGTAAACGCTATGCTTGTTCAACGATTATTGCGTGTTTTACTATGCACAATAGTATTGATGCTGTTAAATAACCATACATGACCAACAGATCCACCATATATTTATTATTAACTTTTAAATGATGTAT